GGGCCCTGTGTCGGACCCGCAGTCGGAGCACTCGGACGAGAGTGGCGTTCGGGAGACGCCAAGTACTCGTACTCGTACGAGGGCACCTCCGCCTCTGCTTGACCTGAATGGAGATGTCCACTTCCACGTGGAGCGGATCCTCCAGGCGCAACGGTGTCGGTAAGCGACAGCTCCTCGTGAAGTGGAGGGGTTATTCCCACTCCGAGAACGCGTGGGAGCCGATTGAACGGCTCCTGATTGACTGCCCGATGGCTGTCGCAATCTGGGAACAGAAGCGGCGGCAGCTTCATAAGTAGTCCGGGGCTTCTTGCCCGAACGGGGTACGGACGTTGAATAGACTCCGTACCCGCGCTCATCGCGAGCGCTGGAAGCCGCACGCTTCAGGATGTCCCTTGGCAGCATGCGCTTGCTGATCAAGTGTGCAAACCTCACACGAAGATCACGCTGGTCCAGGATGCGGGACAGCAGCTGATCTTCATGGAGTTCCCGTAACTCCGTGGGTGTGTACTTGAGAGATGCAACCCATGCCCAGAACATGTCCTCACAGGAACTCCAGGTGGGACAGTTCTCGGGCATAACCCAGGGGTATCCCCAAACAGGATAGAGACCACCCCGGGTCTCGGGCTTCTTACGACAAGTCGTGAAGTCCTTAAGGGGAATGCGGTGTGGCGCGAGAAGCACACACCGAGCAGCCTCCAAGTTGTCGACGAACAACTGTTCTTTCTGAACAAGGGCTCGTTCATAGATGCCCCTAGAAGTGTGGCCGCCCACAAGGCCACGAGGAGCGACGAGAAGCTCTAAGAAGAGGTCAGCCCCAGAGCTCTCCTCGGGAGGCCAATACCCCCTTGAGCTGATGGCAGCTCCCTGGCTGACGGGTGCCGCCACCGAACCCCCACGCACACGCTGGGCAGCTTGGAAATCCTCCTGCTGCTGGTCGAGGTCATTCGAGACCTCCCGAAGCTCAACAGTGGCACCCTCTTCTTCCTCCTTCTCCTCCTCTTCATCCGAGGAGCCGAAGAGACTCTGATAGGAGCGTCGAGTCTCCTTCTCCTCGCGGAGTGGAGACTTAGAGGCGGTACGCTTCTTTGAGGGCTTGGCGCCTTCGGCTTTAGAGGCCTTAGCGCGCGCAAGACCATCGGCAAGCGAGAGACGTTTGCGAGGATTCTCTTCCTCATCGCCACCGGCTTTGGGAGCGCCCTTAGCCTTAGCGGCCGGACTCTCAGAGCGCACAGAGGTCCTGGGACTGTGATCACCGTGATCACTAGCGGGCGACTGCACGCTACCTACTTTGTGCTCACTGGGCACTGGGCTGTGCCCTCCCACAGAGCCCGCAGGAGCATCCTGAGTGCTCTCGGACTCGGCATCGTCTTCACTGCCCGAGTTGAGCTCGCGTTCTACGAACCGAGGGTTCGGACGGTTGTCTGAAGACGAGGGCGACGGACTGCGGCGCCTGCTTGCGCGCTTGTCCGCAGCCGCGTCATTCGAGGAACCGATCGCCTTGGAGGCCACCTGAGTAGCCTCCTTGAGTGCAGAGCCTTTGCCGTGAGGCTTAGTGCTCTTGGCCTGCGCCTTACCGGCTGCAGCCTTGGAGCGTGTCTTAGCACCGCTCTTAGCAGTGCCGCGAGGCATGTTAACGGTCGAAGTGGAGACCTTGACGAAGAGCGCACAGGTTGCTGCTCGAGGCTCTAGCTGTGAAGTGAGCCTCCGCCGCGCTCGCGCGGCCAAGTCGATGGTTTTCGACTTTGAGAATGAGAGTTTGTGACGAACACCTCTTCATTCTGATTGGTCGGTAAACCGAACCTAAGTGGGGGGGGATGTAACGGGGTACGTAGCCCTAAGTGTACCCTGGTTACATGAAGTGTGACACTTCACACTTCCGGGGTATGACATGTCATACTCCGGGATATTTGGTACAAGGTACCAAAGTCGTTCAAAGCCAACCATTGGTTAAATGACATTGCATTTCTATAGGTAACTAATAGTTTGTATTAAACCCGAACTTATCCTACCTATAAATATACTCAGTTTACAATCTACCTTATTTGGGTCACTTCGTTCTCTCTAATAAAAGAGGGGACCTGTGAACTGCCGTTCACTGAGAGTTTGTATACTCTCGGAAGATAACTTCCTCTTGCGCAAGGTGCTGTGTGACCCCGTCACAGCTAGCCAAGGTGCAGAACTATCAAAAAAGTTGGCGGCGCAAAAATCGGCCGGACTCAATGGAGCCTGTGCTAGAAATTTGTCGACAATGCATGTATGATTGTGAAGATTCTCGTAGAGTTTGGGATCAAGATCCGAATTCTTTGCTAGTTTTTTGCGATACCAAAGTGGTGGATGGTGTAGTTGAACCAGCTCTTGGCACCGGTGCGCTAGGGAATCCATTTCGTATTGGGTTAACATGTACAAGACTACTTGAGAGCTATGTGGATGTGCAACAAAACCCGGATCTTTCAACAGTTCTTCATCTAGACACTACGCACGACTGCGTAAAGCCGAAATACCCTGTTTCTGTTGTGGGTATTTCAGATCGTGCTGGAAGATTCCAGCCAATTCTTTACTGCTGTACATCACAACGTCGCAATGAAGACGTTGCTTGGTACTTGGCGTTTTTAAAGCGTGTGATTCTGGAATTGTTTAACGTGCAATTTTCGCCCGACTTTGTCATGATGGACGCTGACAAAGCTCAGTACAATGCCTGCACAACTGAATTACCTGATAGCACGGTCCTAATGTGCTGGTTCCATGTTACACAAAATGTACAAAGACAAACGCAAGAATCAAAGCTGGATGGGATATCAGTTCAGTTGATTTTTCGAAATCTGTATGATTTGCACTATGCTACCGATGAAGAGCACTATCTGCGTAAACGAGAGTTTGTTGTGAGGTCATGGCGTGGAGCGGGTACAATATGTCCTCGGTTTCGACGTGTGACAAATCACATTATTTCGCAGTGGATACTAGGCGCCCGCTTTTCACGCTGGCAAGCTTATCGTACCCCCACAGGGTACGCGGCTACTAACAACCCGCTTGAGCAGTACCACTACACATTAAAACTAGTGAATGACAGCAAACGGGCTAACCCGGCAGAACTTGTTGTCCGCCTGGATTTGTCACGAATTTCGTTTATCGCCTCAATGCAACCCTTTTGCGATCAGCCTACTGTATCCAAACGTTTACTGGCTGCTTACAGAAGGATTGATAAAAAAAGGTCATGACTGCAGAATTGATTCACCGAGACAACAATTTAGTTCTGGTTCGTGTCGCACCATCTCCGCTTCCCACGAGCTCATCACAAGAGCCAGGAGAATCTGTGCATGCTCTTGCTGCAAATCCTAAAAAGCCGTGTACGTACGAGGCCAAAAACTACGCTAGAATTAGCTGGGTCAACATGCCCGTCGGTGGATGTATTGTTGATGCTACTGCACGCACATGTTCGTGTCTGTGCTTTAAGAAAGCTGGGATATGCCTACACGTTGTTAAGGCAACCGAATTTTCTGGGCTGGCATGTCCAGGTATGCCAGCTCCTTCGCAAAGATTTGTGCGGCCGGCACAACAATCGCGCACTGCAGCTCGGCGGATAGGGATTTGCGACTTAGATACAGACAATAACGAAGGTGGCCCAATAGAGCCTCAAGGTGCTATGTACGGGCCACCTACACTTGCTGCTTCCATGGAAGCGAACGAGTCTCTGGTAGACGACCATCCAAACCCGGTAGCACAGCTGCGTGAAGTGCAGAATGCTGTGGAGGTACCGGTACCATTGCAGCAAGGTCCTGTCGTTCCATCACCGGCAGATCCACTGCCAGACGTACATGAAGAGCTGCAAGTTGCAGTAGCACAGACCGATCCTGATATTGCACGATTTGAAGAGAACAGCACACGTCAGGCATTGAATGTGCAGACACCCGTGTACCGACAGTCTACCCACAGCTTGCGCAGATCTGCAAGATCAAGAACTCCCACACGCAGAGCGCAAGAGTCCAGAATCCAGACCAAGCGTCGTCGAATGTAGCCGCATGCCTATCTGCATCCCGATGGATCTGCTTGCAGCCTTTACATGAGCTGGATACAGGGCAGTTTTAGTTGGACCTTTACATCCGTAACAGCTGATGAATACATTGGCTATCATTCGCTTTAGAATTCGCGGCTTGAGAACATTTCGGCGTGTGTACCAAGCTAGAAGAGACTGGAACGGGTAGAGCTCTGAAGACGCGAGATAGTTGATCCAGGAAGTCGGAGCGAGGGAACATGGGTCGACGATTCAATAGCTCGCCGAAGATACAGACAATGGACCACACATCCACCGTCTCATTGTACACTCTCGAGGGCGCCAACATGATGCGTCGGTTGGAGACGTGACGCCGTCCGTACGAGCGCTGTGTGGGATGTACCAAGAGAGTCCGAAGTCCGTGTAACGTGTGCTTGGCGTCCCACTCGTCATCCTCCATAGGCGTGATCTTCTTGATAGCAACGTTCTTCTTGGCCTCCGTGTCCGTCTCCGCGCAAACGAAGCCGTACGAGCCTTCTCAGAGTACTTGAAGTGGCTTGTACTTGGCTGGCACGTTGAACATTCAGCTCTTCAGAGTGAACCCATCGTTACAAGCTGTTGATCCGCGTGGTTGCGTCACAATAATCTTCGAAACGAGGTCAATCTGCGAGGGAGAAGAATTGGTACCGTGGCTTTCTTCCGGTTGAGAGTTTCAAAAACAGCGGCGCGTTAATTTGCGACAGATTCACGGCCGAGATTGAGCATGGCTGCGGTGACTGACGATGGGATCTTGGCGTACAAGCGGTTGGTTACCAGGTTGACGTAGAACAGACATCCAGTTATGGGCTCGGATCGGCGAGCCCAATCCTCGGTAGATTGCTGGACGTACTGGAACCTGCTCGTCGACTGGATCGCATCAAGCTGCGACTCGTAGAGAACTCGGGCGTCATTGCACTGGACGGGGAATAGGTCGTCTACGACGTGCCTGGCACTCTTGACGGAATCGCGGTCGATGGATTGGTCCCCACGTGCACTTCGCTGGTTGCTACTGGACACGCGTGCGGACCCAGTGCGTGTGGAGATCGTTGCCGTCTTGACTGGCACTCTTGACGGAATCGCGGTCGATGGATTGGTCTCCACGTGCACTTCGTTGGTTGCTGCTGGACACGCGTGCGTGCATTCCTCATCCAGCGACTACGTGGAGATCCACACGCCCAAGCTGGTCGGTGGTGCCTCGGGGAGCGGAGCCAACTACTTCACACTCAAGTACTTTTCGACCAGGACGCTAACTTGGCTCAGAGTCCGCAGACGTACAAGCATATGGCGTGTGATGTTGCTAGTCGCGAGCGCGTGTTCGAGATCGGCCCGGGCTTCCGTGCTGAGACCTCGAACACGCACCGTCACATGTGCGATCTCGTGGGTCTGGATCTATGGATGACTATTAAGGCGCACTACCACAAGGTGCTGTAGGTGCTCTCAGACCTGTACATCTACATTTTCGATGGCTTGAAGAAATGTTACGCCAACAAATTGGCTTCTATCAACGAGTAGTACCCGTTCGAGCCGCTCAAGTACAACAAGCCGTCGCTTATCATCAACTCCTAGGAAGGTGTCAGGATGCTGAAGGAGGCTGGCGCTGACCTGAAGACGATCTGAGCACAGAGAAAGAGAAGTGGCTGGGTCGTCTCATCAAGGAGAAATACGACACAGACTTCTACATCCTCGACAAGTTCCCGCTGGCTGTGCGTCCGTTCTACACGATGCCAGACCCGACGGACAAGCGTTGGAGCAACTCGTACGACATGATGATCCGAGGCGAGGAGATGGTCTTGTGTGCTCAGCATGTGCACGATCCCAAGCTGCTGATGGAGCGTATGGACGAACTGGGTGTGCCTCAGGAGTCGATGCGCAACTACATCTACTCTCTCCGTCTTGACTCTCTGCCCCACGGTGGCGGTGGTATTGGCCTGGAGCGTGTGGTCATGTTGTACTTGGGTCTGGGCAACATCAGTAAGTCCTCCATGTTCCCGCGTGACCCCAAGAGGTTGCTCCCTTAAGCCTCTCGTCGCTAGAATGGCGTCGTATTGTTTGTAGCGGGCTCTCATTGAATAAGGATAATGCAAAGACCAAGTACTGTCAACGATGATATCCTGAGGTCTTTGTCGTTCGATTAGCAAGGTTAGCGTTACACGTAGCACGTTGCGCACACATTACTCTGTTGTCGACTACACATACTCTACGTAACTAGAATGCCTCAGTATTTACTCATACTGTCGAACTATAGGCGGGTACAGGTTCTGGATCGTCATTGCGGCTCACGACACAACCTACATGATCACACAGCCATAGTGCATGTACACGTAATTCTGTGCTGCCAAAAATTGTGTGAAACTTAGCAAACTTGCTGCGTGGGCACGGACCATCTTTGTATTTGACGTCATTCAAGCATTACCTAGCCTTTTTCAAATGATCCAACTTCCTAAAGCTCTGTAGTGACGACTACAATCATAGAAATACCTCCAGTTATGATTGCTTCAAAGTGCTATGGAGCCGTCAATGCACGCTGTGTATAAACCTCTACATATAATGTCGGATCCATGTTGGTGGTATCTTCATTTGAATTGGTGTAGAAGTCCTCTTTGCAGGTGCTCAGCGCATATGATCACGGTTTGACTACCAAACAGCTGGTGCGTGTCGGCTCCTAAATTAGTAGTGTGTTGCTCTTCCTGTCAGTGGCCAACACCACCTTAAGAGTGTGGGTTTAATCAACTGTAGTGATTCTATCTTATCCTCCGAGATCTCGAACACATTGATCAGAATTAGCGACGATACACACGGGAAGATGTACATGATCAGATCCCAAATGTAGTTGGACAGCCAGAATGCGGGTAGTGATACGCCGGAGACCAATTGCTGGTGCTTCGAGCTGTGCTCGTTTTGCTTCTCCTTGACCAAAAAAACCACGGTAGACGCCGGCAAGAAGGTGAACGCGATGCACACTAAAGGAGCCGCAACAAACGACGTGTTGGAGCTGAATACAGACTCTGCAGCATCAGTGTACGGCAACGGGTAGTTGTTCACCTTCATTCGAAGCCGAGTCTGTAGAGTTGTGTGCTGCGAAGAAGCGATACACTGCCTGGTCCATCAATGCTTTGAAAATCGCCGAAGAGTCAGACCCCGTAGTGTTAGTGAAGATGTTGTAGCCGAACAAGTTCTGGTTGCTGTCGCCGTACACCAAGTAGCCTCCGTACTGGCCCTCTACAAGATCAGCGCCCTTGCCGTATCCACGTTCGAATGCTCCCTGACCCATGGCAACCATGTAACCAGTGTATCCGCTCGCGTTTAGTGCGGGGTATGTGTACGTGACCCCGAACACTGTGGGCGAGTCAGAGTCGAACGCTGGTTTCGGGATGGATAGTGACTGTGCGTCGGCTCCCGAGAAGTAAGAGGATGTCATCACATCAGTGCACCATTCGCCAGCCCCAGCTCCTGCCTGACAGACGTACGGTGTTGGGGTCTCAGTACCAGAGTATTCGTCAGCTGTCAGTGTCTTCAAAGGATCGTCCTCGATAGCCGTGCTAGCCTTCAACAATCAGCGGAACTGGAAGCGCCGCAACGTAGATGATCGCCTTCTTGTCACGCTTAGCATAGCGGAAACGCTTCAGCAGCAACGCACGGAGATGTCTTCGAAAAATTGATTCGGTCAAAACAATCTCATCACATGGCTGGTAAAATCCATCTGAACCAGCGGAATTCATTCGTGTAACGTTCTTTCCGAGCGTGTGCTAGTTGTGTTCGTCCGAGAGCTCCGCCACCTTGATGAACACTTCTTCCAGCGTGGTTACCGACACGCCATAAGACAGAAGACGAAGTGTCTGCAACTGACGATCCATTTCTGCAAACATGGTGGCGAACTCGGACGAGCTTTGCAGAGGCAATCGAAAAGCAATTTCACTGCCGACGTTGCTCAGCAACACAGCAGCCGGCACGTACGATTGTATAAAGGCGACCACAGCATCATTGTCGCACTTAGCGTCGTCCTTCACCAGAGTCAGATTGTAGCCGGCACCAAAACGATTCTTCAGGAACAGCGACGACCCGCAGCAACGCATTTCGCCTTCAGCCATGATAGCGATACGGTCGCCTAGAATGTCGGCCTCGTCCATAAAGTGGGTGGTCAGCACCATCACACGGCTGCTGCGGTTGTTCAGCTAAATCTCCCACGTACTGCGACGACTGTACGGGTCCATACCTGAGGTTGGCTCATCGAGGAACACCAACGAACTGTCACCCAGCAGCGACACAGCTACTGACAACTTACGCTTCATGTCACCCGACAGATCGTTGGGTCTCGAGTCGCGCTTCTCGATCAATCCAACTTCACGGATCTGACTGTCCACCACAGCCTGTAGCTCTTCATTCGCGTAACCCTTAATTTGTCCGAAGAACTGGAGATGCTCCTGGACCGTAAGCTCTGGGAACAGAACGTCATGCTGGAAACAGATATCGAGCGACCGGCGCATTTCGTCCATGTCCTCGTTGATCGACAAACCACGGTAGGTTGCGTTACCACTGGAAGGGGCAGTCATACCCGTCAGCATCGAGATCAACGTGGTCTTACCAGCACCGTTGTGACCCAGCAGACAGGTGATCTGATCCTTGTACATGGCGACGTCAAGCTCCTTCACAGCAACCTTCTCACCTCCCGGTACTTGGAAAACCTTGCGCAGTCGCTTAACTATGAGGGCTTCCCCATGGAGTGTTGTTGGTGAAGCTCTGCGCTGACAGGTTCAAAGTTCGGGTTCATGTGTCACGAAAAGTAGCGAGGAAGCGTAGGAGCGTAGACGGCGAGTACGGCGCCGTAGACAGTTGTAGGGGAGGAGGGGAGTTGCTGCTCGAAAGCAAATTGAGAAGTGATTAATCAGTTATAGTTGGCGGCGGCAAGCTAGTAGCTGCCGCACAACCCAGTAGTTCTTGACAACCCGGATATTCACGCACGTATCCAGTTCCATCCTAAAACCTATCTTTCTCAAATCCTGATTTTCTCTGTAACTACCAATGAAAGCCTATGAATCCTAATTCTTATCTTGGTCGGAAAATTCGCACAGCGTCCCATAATCACAATTTCCGGCTGGAAGCTTGATTGTTGCAAATCCATGGGATTTTGGACCAATAGGATTGTAGTATGATGTAAAGACACGCAATCTTAAGTTTACGCTGATCAGAATAATCTGACCAGCTGAACTCAAATAATTGACGTGGCTGTTCACTGCCATGCCATTGGCTAGTGACCACCACGTCACATGACCTTGCTTCGAAGAAGAGCCTCTCCTAGAGAAAAGGGTTCCCTTTCTTCTTTGACTTCAAGTAGAGGTCGATGAGTCCGGGAATTTGCGTTAGATTCTCTACGGGCTCGCAAGTGGCTTCCTTCTTGGTTTCACCAAGCCACCAGATCTTGTATTGCGGTTTTCCCTTGTACTTGCGATGTCCAATGACGGCTTCAACGAGCTGGCCCTCGGTACCATCGGCTAACACAACCTTATTCACCTTTTGCCTCCGCTTGTGGTCTTTGCGGTACGGCTTCAATAGTGACGTATGGAACACCGGATGCAGCTTCAATTCTTGCGAAAGTCCTAACTCATACGAGTCTCGAGACACCTTCTTTAGTATCGGGAAATGTCCAATAAATCTCGGAGCTAACTTTTTCGACTGTGCATACCCCTTGTGGCGGATGTCCATGTTCTTTCCGTCAAGTAACACCATATCACCAGTCTCGAAGTCTTGGACAAGTCTGTTCCTGTCGTAATAGTGTTTCATGCGTTCTTGGGCTTCACTCATACGGTCTTGTGCTACCTTGAGGAAGACCTCTTGCCGGAGTAAGAACTCTTTTGCTGCTTTCTCCAACTTGTTGAATTCCGGATCTAACGAAACCTCGTCAGGCATGTACGGAATATACCTAAGATCCGCTTCAAACGGTGCCATTCCGATCGTCGAATGCACACGTCGATTGTAGGCAAACTCTGCCATATGAAGAAACTCATCCCAATCGTTCTGGGCTGGGTTCACGACTCCACGAAGATAATCCCCGATAAAACGGTTCGTACGTTCCGTTTGCCCATCCGTCTGTGGTCTAAATGCCGATGACAGGTTATGCTGCGTTCCCATAGCAGATATAACAGCCTGCCTAAACTTAGACGTAAATTTGGAGTCACGATCAGACACAATCGTCTTCGGAAGGCCATGATCTTTTACATAGTTCTTCATGAAGACATGCGCGGTATCTTCTGCGCTATCTGTCGTCTGCGTTGCAATGAACTTTGCACGCTTGGTCAATCGATCCACGATGACCACGATGGCATTACAACCATCCTTGCTGGGAGGTAAGGACACAATGAAATCCATCGAAATGTCGATCCATCTACCTCTTGGTACTTCCTGCGGTTGAAGTAATCCCGGCGGTTTCACTTGTCTCGCCTTGTTGCGCTGACACATTTCACAAGTGTTGCAATAACGCTGGATATACTTCATCATCTTCGGCCAATAATACTTCTCTCGTACTGCGACGTAAGTCTTGTACGATCCAGGATGGCCTGCCGTTACGGCATCGTGGTTCTCGCAAATGACACGGTTTCTCAGATCTTCGTCATCCGGAATATACAGTCGCGGACTTTCATCTTCACCGGTCTGGTAGTATAAAACACCATCACTGAGCGAGTAATGCGGAACGTTGTCTCCAAGCTTAAGCTTCTTGACAATTCCCTGCAAGTTCTTGTTCCACGAATACATCTTCTTTGCGGACTGTGCCACAGTCACGTTGTTCGCCACCATGGTTGCCACAATCTCACGGTTTTGAGCCGTATCAAGAAGTTCCTGAAGGCTTACTTGCGCAGCCTTATGCTCGAACTCAGGGTTTCTTGATAATGCGTCTGCGACTACATTTGTTTCTCCTGGGATCCCCTTGAACATGGGTCGAAACTCCGCGAGTTCATTGAACCACCGCGCAATGCGTCTATTCGCTGTCTTCTGTGTAAGAATCATCTCGATGCTCTTATGATCG